GGACTAGTCTAGCAAAGTGGCGAAGTGTAAGATTTAAACGTAGCAATCCTTCTATATCCTGTGGCAGTTCTTTTGATTCCCACTCTGTGTGGCTTCTCGGATGACTTCTCTTTCTGATTAACTGTCTCCAGTTCAGGCTTTACCCAGTTTCTTTCAAACCACTTTTCAGCCACTTTCTCCAGTAGACTGTTTTCCAAAGTAAATTAAATTAAATAAGGTAGAGCCACAGATCAATAATAATATTTTATAATTATTTCCTTGTTATTTCCTGGTATAAATGCATACATTGTACAGTGGGAATAGCGGAGGAATAAGCTATGGGTGTACTTGTTCATAGAAATAGATTACCAATATTACATAGCTGTATAAAAGGCAAGCACGATGCTCTGGGTAGAGTACTGGGGAGAGTTGTGTACTTTTTCTCCTTTGGGGTCTGTGTCCAAGGGAGATCAGTTCAAAGTGGAACCACTGGGAAAAATGTATAGCTACCAGAGGCTAGGAAGTCTTACTAGTGTTAAGATGGAGTGTGATAAATGTGTTAATGGAATTAGGTGATAAGGACAGAAAAGCAGGAGATCAGATCCTGAAAGCTAGGTGTTTTGATAGGTTTTCACCTCCAACACAGGTGTGTGTGTGGGGCGGTGGTGGTGGGTTGTTTTTTTTGGCGAAGGGTTGAGAGTTTGGAAGATTAGTGCAGAGTAAGTTGATCTAATGGAATATTTAAGCGACTTACTACTGTTTCTGAGCCTCTGGGATGTTCTGCACCCAAATACTTCAGGGTAATTTTTAGAAGAAAAGACTTTAAAAGATGCTAATTTTTGGCTTAACTACTAAAATAACTTCATAAAACTCCTTGTATTAGATTTGTGGGAATAGGTTCAAACTAAGAATTTTGCAAATGCAATCTACAGTGATTTCTGTAGACTTTTGTGGTTGTGTCACCTTTATATTAGTTTCTGTTGTCTAGCTTCCCTCTTTGTCGGAGTACTGAGGTGGATCTCAAAGGAGATTTCCTGACTGTTCCCTCCATCGCTGTTTATTTCCAGAAATGGCAGTTTCTTTGTGGAAGAACTTGTTTCAGACTACAAAGCAAAGGATACTACAACAGAGAATGATGACAGTGTATAATGATGCTCATGATTATCAGGAAGAATTGATAAAGAAGAAACTTCAGCAGTTTTCTGGTGGATCCATCAACCTCTCCAAAGAAGGCAATGGCATTGGAATACTCACTTTGAACAACCCAAAGCTAATGAATGCCTTTACAGGTATTAATTAGTTGATGGGGGTTCTGGTTTGTGAATTTTTTCTCCTTCAGTTACCCATTTCAGCATTTTGCCTAAACAAAATGAAAAGCAATGCCTTACCATTCCTTAGTTAAGAGAAGAAATACTTAATTTTTATGCAGATATGCAGCAAATGCCCACTCTTCTGCATAGTAGTTTGCCATAAGCATTATAAGAATCTAAGAAATTCTCAATGACACAGGGACTGTCTGGTAGAACATGCCTCTCCCCCTGTTTTTCATTCAACACAATTCTGCTACTGTGCTCTTTCTTGTAACTCCCTTTGTTTTGTCGCTACTGCTCTGGAAACGTATAGAGTATTTTCATGGGGGTGGGAAGATTCCATCTTTGCTTTGTAGGTGATGTAGAAGGGGGTGAGTTTACTTCTTTGTTCTTTACCTCAAGCCTTCCCTGCAATTTAAGCTTCTGTAATTTGGTCTTTTACCGTCATCCAAACTGGCTTCTCTTTCTTCTTCATTCACATTATGTGTTAACTAGCAATGACCGGTTAATTAAAAATCAGATGAGCTGGGTTTTCTCAGCTGCTGCACATCAGGAGTCTGTTTAATATGCTTTTACACTGGACAATACTTAGATATTAAAACAAGTGCCTTGTTTTATTAATCCTGTATTATGAGAAGCTTTTGATCCCCAAAATAGGTGTATTTGTTGTCTCTCCTTAACTGCCTAGAATATTCCAATTTATGTTGTTCTCTTCAGATATAAATGGCACAGGTTCAGGGTCTGCATCTGCCTGAGCTGGAGCTGTGCACAAGCCTTTACTGTAAGAATGCCTTTATCTCTTAACGTTTTGAAATGGATACATTTGTGTCATCTTGTTAATTTCTTTTTTGCTGATTTATTTTCCTGCCCAGTTCTCACTGTTCCTTTGCTGTCAGCAAATATCTGTACAAGCCACTAGCAAAGCGTAGAGCTGTTTATGTGAAGAATGTCAATCTAATCCTGCCACTAATGATTGTTAGCTGAAAGGAAGAGAACCTGACAGAACAACAGAATTAGTGGTAACGCACCTAGATGTGTCTGCAGTTTCTCTTTTGTTTCCCTTTAAAAAGCTCATGTATAAAATCATTACCTAACTTGAAAAGTTGTAGCTAACAGACGTTAGCGTGGCGATTGTCCTTCTGAATGCCTCCGTTAGCATGCATGTTATTATCAATCGAAATTAAATTGCTGTTTCCCCTTTTTCTGCAGATTGGTTTTTATTTCTGACTCAATAGAGCTGTGTACAAAGTACAGCTTCTAGACTGTGTGCTCTTAGCTTATTTGTTGTGGAAGTTGAAAGGGGCATGAGCAATGAGATGTAATAGCAAAAGGAGAAGGGACAGATAAAGCCCAGTCTGCTGTGGAGATCAGATGTGATACCAGTCAAACTGCTTAAACTAAACTTTCATAGAAACTTACAACTATATTCTCTGTTTTCTAGGTGCTTGGCAGAAGGGGCTCAGAACTGAGTTGTTGAAGTGCTGAGCAGTTGCAGGTGCTATTTAGGCCACTGGTAGCTGTGCTTTGGTTGTATGAAGTGGTGTGTAATGTTAATGTACTGAGATCATATTGCACATCTCAAGTTGAGCACCCAAAATGAGCAGATATTTTCTTTCTTGCTCAGTTAGTGGTCTGTAAAAAAAAAAAAAATATCTCTTATCTCCTTGTAGAACTGCTGTGAAAATAAATTATTACTGTATGTGAATTAGATGCTGTAGTAGCAAAGAGGAGCTACAGAAACCCATGAGGAAATTAATAGATCTGCCTTTGTTGCAGACCCTGATTAGCATATAGGAAATGAGCCATGGCATCAGGCAGTTCTGTTTTACATTAGTGTGTAGAGCTCTGTAGAGAGCAGTACTCCATTTTGCTAGGTAATAGCCACAAAAATTTGCTCTGGAAAATCTTACTATGGCAGTTCAAGAGATTACCGCTTCTTTCTACTGTGCACCTCTGCTAGAGACTTTTTGTGTTACAGGAGCCAGAGAGAAGCAAAACTATGCTGGCTCCTTGGCTGCTCCGGTGAATGGTATTGCATATTAATTTACACTGCTCTTCATTTCATTTTAACATTACTGTCTGTAAACCGTAGCTGCTGAGGAATGAGCAAGCGCTTGATCCTCTTCCTTTTGTCATCTACCAAATAATACCCTTCAGGAGAAGTATAAAGAGGATTGGGGTGCACAACCAGCAAATTGCCTCAGCAAGACCTAGTTGACTTCATCAGCCAGAGCCTGTAAATACCCACCCTCAAATAAATTCTGTTGATTCTGTGTCTCAGAGCTTCTGGATATTTGCAGATGTGAATTCATGTATACATGTACGCTTCCTTTAGAAAGTTTCAAAACATGATTAAAGTGTTGAGAGAAATCCTATTTGCCAGGCATTTACTTTACACAGCAGCTTTTTTATCTCAAAGGAATTATGTTTATTCTAAGCTTGAGCAACTCATGGAACCAAAAACAGAACAAAATTGTTGGCAAATTGCTAATGGGCAATGTGGAGGTTGTTATGCCTTTTTTCTCTTCTTAATTGGAACCTGATAGCCACCTGTTTGAAATGGTCTCTTTGGAAACAAATGCTAATAATGTCAGTTTAAGCCTGGTGGAACCAATTTCAGCAGCCCTACCTCTTGCTGAACTAAAGATGAACTTAATTTAAAAAAGAAGGAAGCCAGCCTACAGGCATTGGATAATAATAGTGATAACTTTATTTTTTAGAATTGACTTTAAAGCATTTATTCTCAGATTATAATTAAGGTGCAAACAAATTATTATTCCAAGTATTCTTAGTTCTGTGTTCTGTGAAGAGCCTGAACTTACTGGAATCACATACTGAAGGACCAAGACTGGCAGAATGAGGATTTGCTTTAGTATTGTGCCCTCATCATTATTTCAAACATCATGGACTATATCTGTTGGTAAAATAATAGTTCAGTGTTGTCAGTAATGGAACGGATCCTCTCCCAGGAGGGCAGGACAGGCTCTGGCCAGTGTCTGTTGTACCCTACTGTTGCATATAACTGGCTCATGCTGTTCCGTTTTGTAAAATCCGTTTTTCAGTTAACTAGATTTTTGGCTTGTAATACTTATGGAAAGACTCTTAAGTACCTCACTGCTTTGACTATTGAAAGGAGCACAAACAGTGGTTGTGCTGTATCTTGACTGTGGCAAAGCTCAGATGCCAGCCTAAATACCCTTCTTGTAAGAAAATTTGGCAAATATGCAAAAAGTGAAGTCCATGGGGTCAATGCACACCTATTTAAACAGCAGCATTTGCAGAAAACTCATTGAGTGTACTGTCAGGATGGGAAAGCATTTCAAGTGAAGACCCACAAAAATCTCATCTAGGCCTAGTTCTGCTTTGTATTTTCATTCACAGCTTGGATGATGAAGTAGAAGATAAACTGCTAAAATTGTTAGATGACCCCAAATTGGGAGAGCTTGCAGGAAGTTTGTTTGGAGCAGAGGAGTGGAATTCAAAGTGATCTTGATTAACTGCTACAAAGAGCTCAAGATCAACAAGGTGAAATTCCATGAAAGTAAATGTAATGGGCAAGACACAAAAATCAAGACCAAATTGTAAATACAGAAGGGAAAGGAACCAGTAAAAGTTCTGGGATTTGCTAGAGGACCATAGTTTGGACCTGACAGTGGAAAAAACACCCAACCCAATGTCATTCTGGTATGTAATATGTAATATCCACTTAATTATTGCCCTCCTCGGGAACATTGTCAAAATGTGTTACTTAAGTGGCTGAGACCAAGCCTAAGGTGGAAGAGCATTCACTCTTGACTTGGTGCTGGGAAACTTACTTCATAAGGAATTGCAAGGAAAACAAGCAGGAAGGAAAAAAAAAAAAATCTCCTATGTGAGGATGGCTGCTAACAGGCAATTTCAGAACGGGATGAGTTCTGTGCATGCAGGCATAGGGTCAAAAAACCAACACTTTGGCAGAAAAGGAAAGAGCCCTTGAGGATATTCATCTGAAGCACAGTTCTATCTGAAGAAGGTAGGGCTGCCCATCTAAATTCTTGATGAAAGGAAGGTAAAGTTGAGAGTATCATCAGCTTGTATGTAGCCTACTTTCTGAAATTAGTTCCTGTAACTATTTTCTCTCAAGAATTCTATTCTATTAAGAATGAGAGTGACAAGCATTCAGAGAGGAAGAGATTTAAGGTAATGCTGGGTAAGCTCAGCTGGTGTGGAAGGTGTTGCAGTCTAGGACGAGCTCTAGAAACAGGAGTTTGTAGAGTTTCATGGAGGGAAGGGTACTTAAGTGGACATATGAGAATATTACATTTAAACTAGAAATAAAAAGCTGGTACTGCACAATCTATATATTTGGAACCTAGGATATACTTTGTAAAGAGAACCTTTCTAGAAAGGCACTAGGGAGGGAATCAAAGATGTTTTAGAAAGAATTTATTTTTTTCCTTTTAAAAGATAAAAGACACTTTGCTCCTATTTTCAGATATATCTTTATTTTCTTTTGGATGGATACTTCTAAATGCCTTTGTCCTTCAACATAGTTTGCTCTTTAGCCTTTTTTTAGGAATCTTTATTAACGTTGGCTGGTTGTACCTTGAGCCCACCTTGCACACGATGCTTTTCTGTATTTTGCCAGTTCTTTGGGCAGGGTAAAATGGCAGTGACATCAAAATGACTAGATCGACAGACCTAGATGGATACCTATAAGTTCATGTGTCCTGAATGTATGCAATTGCAAACAAAAATAAACTGGGTAGAGTTTATGCTTGCTGCTTTGCACTTGCTTCCTTGCACTTTTTTTTTTTTTTTCTTAAAGTGTACCACAATTATCCTTCATGCAGAATATCCTTCAGAGTTTTGGGAAGTGCATCTTTGAAAAAATGTGTCAGTGCTTGTGCGTGGGATTTAAGGTGATGCTTTCCCTTGTGTTTTTAAGCCTATCACTTAACGATAACTTGGTTTTGATGGTGAAAAACGTAATGTAAAACATAATGGTGATAATAATTTCCTGGTAAAATTTTGCTTCACCCCTCTTGTGACAGGTACGATGATGCTAGAACTCCAGGAGAGGGTAACTGAACTGGAAAACTGGAAGGATGGCAAAGGCCTTATCATCTATGGTGCAGGAAACACCTTTTGCTCAGGATCTGATTTGAATGCAGTCAAAGCAATATCCAACTCCCAGGCAAGTAGTGATACAAATTAAGTTTTTGGAGAAAAATGAGCTTTCTGATGTTCTGAGATCCTTTTCAGACAGAAGTGTTGCACTATGCTTCTGCTGCAATTTTACGTGAAAGTCACAGAATGGAGCTTTTAATGGTTGAAAAATACTGGCAGCCCCTTTAAGCCATTCCTTAAGTGTTATTGTAATTGATTCATAACCATGAATTCCTACATTACATATTCTTTTTAGCCTTCTCTTTTTAAAATGTCATTTCAGTTTCTCAGAGCAGTGTATGGTGAATTTACACATCAGATAAGCTCTGCTGTAGTAGTTTGACCTTTAGAGGCAGATACAAGTAATCATTTATCATAAATTTGGTTTTGACTTTAGAATATAAGTAGCACAGCCACTATTACAGAAAGGTTTAAATTTTGTCAAAACTGTACTTGGACCTTCAGAAAATGGAAGGACAGATGCAGTTCTTGTGCTGTAGAGCTTTGAAATTGATCTTGCAGTGCAGTTACGTGAGTCATGGGGTTGAAGAGGTCAGGGTTTCATGGCAGTTTTTTCACTCATGCCACCAATCTTGACAACTTTCATGTGTGATGCAATCCTTTTTATGGGTTAATATGTGGTTCTTGGCAATGTGTGAAATAGGACTTTGTCAACTTCAGGGGAAGAAGGTCGTCTTGTGCTGCTCTTATGTCCTGTTTTGCAGTTGTGGTAACTGGCCATCCTGGTGCTTTTTTTGTGGCCACTTCAGGTTTCAGGATTTAGCCACACAAATTAAACATTTAATTAAACATTCCAATAAGAACACCAACTCAAGAACTGCTTAATCTGGTATTTGTCTTTAGTGATGATTTGTTTCTGTTGATAAAATTAAATATCATAAAACCCACAATGTCTTAAATATTCCTGGCCTGATAAAGCAGAGGACGGTCCTGTTTTCAAAAGGTATAAGAGTCTTTTTCTCCTTTGTGGAACACCATGAGAGGTATATTTTTCTTAATATGGGGACATCATGCTTTATAGATATAAATGTTTTCTTGGGAGTTTTCATTTGGACATTCAATAAACACTGGTCATTTAAAAAATATAGATGTATCTGTGATTTTGAGGGGGGGTCCTGTGAATTGAATTTTTTAATTTAAATCTGAAATTTTTAGCTTAGCATTCTAGAAACAGAAAAGGAGCTGAAACCAATCACAGGCCAATTCTTTTCTTATCTGAAGTCTAGGCTTTCCTCTAAAGTTCTGCATTTAGTAATTCTCAGTGATTCTGCTTCCACAGTCTCTTTGACATTTAGTATTCTGTCTATATGTTTATGCAAATTACTTGAAGCTACTGCAGTGGCAGAGAGGGCTCTTGTAAGGATTAAGGTCCATAACAGATATACTGTGCAGAATGAAATGCATAGGTATTAATTACAACTTTGTTGAAAATTCTCTGCAAAGAATGTAGATCTTGTGCTAGTACTGAACTGTAAGTCTGAGAATCACCAGAAGTGTTCCAAGAATAGTTAAACATGGTTGCTTTCTGTTTCCTTGGGAGAGCTCAGACTATTTATCCTGAACTGAAAGTTTCTTTGTAATAGCCAACTCCTAAACCATCTGTTTGGTGGGATTTAATAGTCTTTATTAAGTAAAACTTCAGTAGAATAAGCATTAGCTGTTCTTTAGTCTTGCAGAACTCAGCTCTACAACTTGCTGCAGATGAGAGAGTTTTGTCTGGTTTCAGGTTAAAAGAGCATTAGGTTAAGCTTTTTGTCCACAGGCATCCCTGAGGCAAAAAAAAATCCAGAACGATGAATATCTTCGTGCCTGAACTGGTATGTTTTTCCTTTACTTTTTTTGCAAGGCTGATTTAGCCCATAGCTTTTAGTAATTACAGAAAACACTTACTTTATTCAACCAGTTAGTTGCGGGAAGATTGTGTTTTTCATAATCCTCGATACAGTTTGCCTTTCCCTGTAGTGCAGGAAAGGCAGATAATGGCCAGGAATGCTGAAGGATTTTCATGCCCCCTAGTGGCAACTCCTCCTTTTCTTCTTCTTCCTCCCCCTCTTCATCCTCCTTCTCCCATGTTCAGGAGTTCCTAACCCTGAAACAAACCCAGGACCCCTGCCAGTCCTTTTTTGGTGAAGTGCTAACGTTACGTGACCAAATCACAGAAGACAAATTAATAGTGGAATTTAAAAAACCCCACCTTTTCTTTCTGCCCTTGTAAGCCTGGCTCCCAAGAGCAATAACCTTATTCTGGAGTGAGTCTTGAAAAGCTGGCTAGCTGAAAAGCAAGAGAGGCTCTTGAAAGGACAGCTGAGAGGAAGGAGGCACAAAGGAGAATTTCACTTTCCTTGGTCCCTGTCTAGAAGCCCTAGGACAGAGGTTTCTGAGCAGTAAGCTGCGGAGGAAGGACTTTCAAGCAGTTGGAGATAGAACAGTATTTCCAGACCATCTGTAGTGAAAGTAGACTCCTAAGTTCTTGCAGTAAAAACAGCCAGTGGTACAGTTTTCTACTTTACGAAGGTGACCTTCTACTTCCCTGCCTCCCCTAGCCCTACTGCAAACTATTAATCCTTTACTTCCATATGTAGTGCATACTGTATTTTACCTCACTTTCTGCTTGTTAAATTTCTTCTTACTCCAGGGATGGTATTAGAGCTGAAAATGTGATTATTCCACTAGACTCCAGTGAACACTTCCCTTATTCAGATAAAATAGTCTGACTGGTAGCCTTATTTTTCTTATCAGGAATGTTTGAAGGGTATGTTGCCCAGGACTCAAGTAATTGCGATTTTTTTTTTTTTTTAAGGTGTTTTTTGTGCAGGCATTTTTTCCATGTGATACTCAGTAATCTCTCTACTGCCTGAGAATATGAAGACTTTTCTTATTGTCTGCTCAGCCATAACTGCGTTTATCAAGCTGGTCTGTTCTGGCATTAATCTTTAAATACCATTTTGAATTTTGGTATGAATTGAGATAGTTTGAATGCAAGGACTCTGCTGTGAAGTAGTGAAAAATCACTTTCTCTGAAGAGCTTTTTTTCAGCTTCATCCTTGTGGTTGTAGTATGGGAATTGTGCAAGTCCGTGTCTGAGAAATGGTACCTTGTATGTTTGTATGGGTTTTGAACTTAGGTGTTAAGACAGCTATCATGGAGGATCTGGTTGTTCTTTAATTTGGAATGGAAATATTGCTGCTGGTCTTAATGGGTGTAGAAGGTGGCTACAGTGATAACTAAAGGCCTCTTTGTAAATCAACATGTGATGAAATTTTCAAGGAGGCCTTTAACGCAATGAAACTGAATTCCCTGGTTCCTGGGTAGCGATTGTCGTGGCACCTTAATATCTGCCAAAGATCTGTCCCTAAACACCATAATGCTGGTTTGTGTTGGGCAGAGTAGGTCTTGAACGTGTGAATAAATGGACAATAAATCAGCTGAAGCTGACCTAATATTTCAGGGTCCTGTGCCAAGATATACTGAAGACTTCCTGCATATCTTTTCTTTCCCTGAGGAATGAGCCAGAAGATTTTCATTAAGGCAGATGCTTTGACTTACAACCTCTGTAAAACAGTGTTTTAGAAATTAGTAAATGCCAATAGAGATGTTTGTTCTTTTTCTTCCTTCCATTTGTTGGGGGGTTTTTTGGTTTGTTTTGCAGTTTTGTTTTTTTTGGGTTGCTTTTTATGAAAGATATGCTGAAATTGTTACCTACTAGTTTTTTACTTCTACATTTTAAATTTTTTTTTTAAATCTGGATTAAATGGCACATGTGTAGTACAGTGTATATATATGAACGTTGTCATACTGGTTCATTTAGCCCAGTCATTTGTCAAGTTCCTGGTTAATACTAGATATCTGAGGGAGAATAGAAGAACAGGGAAGGCAGATAGGTAATGATTTAGCTTCAAAATCTTCTCTTAGTCCCCAGCAATTTGTGACTCAGACTTCTGGAGCTAGAGGTGTAACCTTGTATTTAATAACATTTTGTCAGTTTTTTCTGAGTTTCTCTAGCTGTTCTTGAATTCATGTAGAGGTTGCAATGCCCTGCTGCAAAGTGGTCCACGGTTTAACAACATGTTGTAGGAAGAAATAATTGTTTTGAACCTAGCAGCAACTGATTTTGTTTGGAGCTCCTTAGTTCTTGTGCTGGAAGAGAAGGGAACAGTTGTTCCCTATTCACTATTGTTTGCAAGCTGATGTAAAACATAAAGGAGGAGAGAAATAAGAAGAATCTTTCTGTTTGGTGGTTGGTGGGGTTTATTTGACTGAAATGCTTTTGGCCCAAACAATAAAAAATGAGGTTGGTAAATTGTATTTTGTCTAAAACTTTCTGGATTTGGTCCCATAAAAAGTATGCAGTGCTCTATGGTCCTATATAGACTTTTAAAACTCAGCTTTATGGGTGTTTAACTGGCAGTAAATTAAGAGGAAAGGATGTACATTTTCACATCAAAGAAATTCAGTATTGCAGTTCCTTTAGCAGTGGCTTGATTATAACAGAAATTCATATAAATTGATTGAGTTCTGATTTTATTTTTTTTTTAACAACCTGAATTTATATTATGTTTTTCTACTTGTGCATAGTCAAGTTGGGCTGGAATTCAAGCAAAATTAAACAAATCAAAAAACCCGAACTAGAGTAAATATAATGAATACTCCTGTCTACTCCATCTGTGTGTTTAATTGCTTCACATTAGAATCACTTAACATTTTTTAATTTCCTATTCTTTGTAGGATGGGATGAATATGTGCATGTTTATGCAAAACACCTTAACCAGACTTATGAGGTAATATATTTTATTTACCCTTCTTTATGAAGTAATTATAAGGATTGGAATATGTTTTGGCTAACTCTTTAACAGGATGTTTAAAGTTAAATACACAGTTTTAAGTATGTAATTTTGAATCCCAGACCTTGTATTCACACATGTTAATCAGGTAGATATTTATGGATTTAAATTAGGCTTTAGCATTTTGCAACTATTAGACTTTCCAGAGATTGGAGCAGAAAAAAACCTCTATAGGCTTGTATGTGGAGGGATGGGAGATACCTAGAGTTAAGGAAATTTAGGCCTTCAAAGTTTCTGAAGCTGACTTCTGTAACTCAGTAGAAATCAATAGCTCTTAAAAACCAGGAAGGGCCAGTTTATGCAGCCTACGCAGGTAACGTTTATTTAATATATTTATTTAATCTTCCCACTTCATAAGAGGAATGTATTCAGTTCTACCATCTGGTACTTCTGAAAAACACTTTTTCCTTTCGTTTAGATTTGGCTTCCCTTAAGAAATCACATTTCTATTAAATCCATGTGTGGCTTTTTTCTGCTCTGAGTTCTTTGAAGATAAATATTCTTTATTTTCAAATAATCTATATGAGAAAGTGTTATGGATTAACATTATTCTGTAAAACTGTCCTGGAGATTGGAGACGTAGTAGTAGTAGTAGAAGTACTGTAAGTAATCCTCAGGATTGGAATTAGTATCCATTTGTGTAAATTGGTCTCTATATAATCAAAATTGATGGAGCAAAGCAAAGAGGAGGAAGATGCATGAAGATTAAGACCTCACCTCGGGTATCTTGACTTGGAGTATATTGAAGCTGTGGTTCAGGGAAGCACTGAACTGCTGTCTGGAGACATCTGTTGTAGATGGGATCAGTCTCCCTCAGAAGGAGCTGAGGCTGACTGTGACCCTGAAGGAAGTACCTCAAATGGATTAGAGTGTGAATGTTCGGGACTTGGATCTGTATCTTCTGGTTCCCCATAGACCACAGGAAAAATGAAGTTACCCTCTTCGAGTGGGTTCACTTGTGCCGTGTATTGTATGAAGTGTGCTGCAGCTTGTAAGTGACCTTGAGCCATAAGAAATTGTTGGTGCTTCTGTTAAAGTAGAAGTAAAACCAAACATACGGTCTGGTAAACATATGACCTCAGAATGTGGTTTCTGCCCAATGAGTTAAATGTGTCTTTGTAGTAAAAGCCAAAACAGTTGTATCAGCATGCAAAGTGTGGGACTAACCGGTTGGTTTCATTTCTTAGGGCTTGTCCTACGTCAGTCACTCTTCATTAGTATTCATTTTACAATGGCAGTGGGGAAAGAGGATCTCCTTGCATACTCTTCCTTCCCTCTGTCCTTTGAATTACCTTGAACATGATTAAATACCTTGAGCATGATTAAATACAACACCATCAAAGGGAACAGATTGTTGCTATCCTCAAAGGATGGTTTTGTCCTCCAAAAAAGTTTTATTGATGACTGAGATGATACCTTCTGCAGCTTCTTCAGAGTGCTATCATGTTGAATCTCATAATTTTTAGATAACCCAGCCATGCAGTTCTTTGTGTCCCTCTCTACTGCTTCCTGTAGTGTACTGGCTTAGCGTAGGGTCTTGTGTCACTTCCCTGTCACTCCTTCTTGCAGTCAGTCTTTTTAGGTGTAATCTGTAGCATGTATTTTTCATAATGATCTTCTTTACTTTCATTCCATTTGATATATCTGTCTTGCTGTTTCATTTTGGGATTTCATATTAATTGTGGAATAATCATTTTAGTGTAAGTGGAATTGATATTGTGCTACTTACCCACAAGATGCAGTTATTTGAATTGGAACAGTATATTTTTCTGATCTTTTATTATAGAGATGATTTGCTTGAATCCTTTTGTAATTTCTAGAAGACTAAAAGCATGAATTTTGGTTACAAAACTTTCTTGTGTAGATTGCCTTTGATCAGTGTTGCACTAGTCCAAGGAAAAGCTCTCGGAGGAGGAGCAGAACTTACCACAGCGTGTGATTTCAGGTAAGATCAACGATTTGAGTAGCTGTCATGTTGGGTCAGTGATTTAATGACTGCACCTATGAAATGTGGGAAGCTTGAGGTACCACTTTTACCAGAAGTCAGGTCCCTGAATTCCAAGGCACTTAGAATTGAGCTTTGCCAGCAGACTTCACAGGAAAAAAGTTTGGGTTTCCTGATAGTGCAGAGGAAAGGTTATTTGCTCTCAGGTTATACAGTTTGGATCACTGTAAATCAAGAGCAGTGAGGAGCTTTAGCAACTGACTGTGTCATAGACCAAGTGGGTCCAACTTCTCACTCCTGAGTGAGAGGTAGGAGGTCTGCAAAATTGATATCCCCTTATGTCTCTTTATGTGGCCGTCATAAGTAAAAATAAATAAAACTGTCTATTAGTCTGGTATTTTATGTTCTGGGTTTATTATTCGTAATGTAATTTTGTGCTGTACAGTTTCGAAACAAGAGTTTGAGATGTAGAGGAAAGCAAGTGAGGTTCTGTCCCTGTTTTTTTCCATGCAGGGATTTGCCGATGTGGAACAACTAGCAAAAACCAGAGGGCTTTAATTAAAGAGGCTGAATGCCGAACAGGAACTGGGAGAAACTAAAATAATAAAATGTCACTTTATTTAAACAGTTGCTAATGTGCAAACAGCCTACAGATGTATCAGGATAAGCACTGTGCTCAGCCTCTCTGAAAGTGAGGAGCTTTTACTGACATTTTTATCAAATGTGCTCTTCAAGAGGGCCTCAGTGCCTGAAGTGGGAAAGAAATTGTCCAGAGCAAGCTGAAAGTACTTATAATAAAAAGTAATACTAAGCAAAGTAAACTAGAGTATCACGCTGCTGTTCCAGGTATCAGGAACAGGCTTTGGATAGAGGAGATGGTATCTGCATTGTCTGAGCCACTTGGAAGCAATCTTCTCTTGCTTTGAAACTAGATGCAGCCCGATCTTGCTTCACGTCTACACAGCACCCGGTGGAGTGGAACCTCAGCTCTGGTGGCCTCTGAGTACAGGCTGTACTATAAATGCCTAGTAAACATGCAGAGAGGTACCGTGGTTGACAGCTGCAGCGCTGACGGGAGAATGCACCTGAGAGACTGAGCAGACCTTTCTGTATCTCTGAGTCCATTGACAGAAAGTGAATCCTGTTATCCCTAAATAGGAGTTTAGGGAACGTGAATATAATGAAATGGAAATCTTTTGGCTTTCTAAAATATGTACTCTATACTTTTACTCCAGCTATGTTGTTTGACATACTGTGTAATTATAGTCATTGTCAAGTAGCTCTTATTTGCATGAATCGAGCAGCTGCAATTCCTCTGACATGCTGCCATAATTTTCATAATAACTACAGCTGTTGATTCATCTTCCATTACTTTCTAACACACCCCTCCAGTGCGACTAAATAATAGCAATTCAGGAGCAGCAAATGGGACTTAATTAATAAAAACAACAAGATAGAGAAACATACTCTGTGCTGCTATTGCTCCTGAATTTGAGAATTTTAATACTGAGGGACTGAATCCAGGTTTCTTTGAGGATTATGACTAGATATTAGTAGAACAGGTATTCTGTCCTGAGTCGCTAGAAGCCGAAAGAGGAGCTTGAGAAAAGAAATCAGAGAGGTTTGTTTTCTTCCTTTAATAAACTGTTTGGACATTTTATTTTATTTTTTTAAGAACAAAATGAGTCAGTTGTGTCTGCTTTTAATTCTAGATTTTCACATCCACTTCTGGTTTTCACGTTTACTGTGTAAACTACCAAAGTGCTTCATACTAGCCTGAAATATTTTATTTTTATCTCCGCCAGTTTGTACTACATAAACTATACTAATACTGTTGAAATGATTCACTTGAACAAAAATGGTTTATGTACCTTCTCTGAAATGTGCTCTGGCAGCATGATGCACATCTCTACTAAAGTAGAGGTGTGGACAAATCCAGTTTTAAAATAGCTGAGGTAGTTCGAGATATTACTGATGCATTCTTACAGTGGCGGTTCTTGTGGCTAGTTGTCTCTTACTCTGTTGTAAGCCAGATCATTTAAAATTGGATTAGGGAGGGTTTGCATGTACTCTGGCACATTTATTGCTGACATTAGGGCAGAGATAAAAAGTGAAAACATCTTTGGGCACACCACCTTTGATCTGAAGGAAGAGGTCTTCTCAAAACATCTTCAATCTTAACTGCCTTATGGATTGTTGCAGTATGACTCCATAAGAGCAACATCCTTGTAAATATCATAAGCATGTGATTCGGGGAAAAAAAAAAAAAAAATTGTCCAGACAAGTGCAAGGTAGTTAATCCTTTCAGACTTTTTCTGATACGAAAATTGTGAAGATAAATAATTAGTGTCTGAAGCCTTATCTTAGTTATTTCTGTAAAACCGAGTAATATAAAACCATGCAGATATGAAATTTGTTTAGACAGCTGAGCTTTTTAGTGCAGTTTCAAGAAACTTAGACTTTTTTCAGTGTGCCACGGTTGAACATTCTCTCTGATGTGAAGATGGCTCATGGGTCCTGTTGCCAGATGTCAGTGTATGTTGCAGTTCTGCATGGCACTGGAACCATTTCAGTGAAGTGCACAAATGACTGTGATGGATTCAGTGATGCAATTTTACAGGTAATTGAAATGAAGCACCTCTTCTGAATTCCCTGTATGCAGAAACTTGAATTGTGTCTTGTACTTGCACAATGCATGAAGTTCATGAGAACTAATTTGGCAGGGTCGGTTAAGGAATTTGGACGAGAATTGTAATGGGTTGTTGGGCAATAAGCTAACAGATAGACACAGGGCAGAGGCAGTTTGGTAATGAATCTATTTGTGCTTTTAGTAGATCACAATAATCCCTTGAGCGCAGTAGCTGCAGTGCACTACCAGCCAGTAGCCAAAATAACTAACTTTGAATTCTGAGCTGTCTTGTCTTCTGTTTCATGTTGGTGCCTTTGAGAAATCTTGATTGCTCCAGTGTCTGTGTAGGTCTTTCAGACACATGTAGAACTTTGAAAATTTGGTCTTACATCACTTGGCGAATGGGTTTTCGCTGCGCCTTAGAGCTTCTGAAAAATATGATCTCTTCCCCTCTACCCCTTTTTCCTCTCTAATGCCGCTGCAGTCAAAATAGAGGTGTGTCTTTGCAATGTGTACCCAACTTAAAAGGTAGTATATCCAGGCAAAGGATGAGAGTGCAAAGATGGAAAGCGACCCATTTGTCTTACCATTGACCTCAAAATGGGCTATAGGTAGAGGCAGCAGTATTCTTTTATTTTTTAGAAAATAAATTAATCGACTATAATTTTTTCAGCTGTAGCTGATCATGCACAGTTAAATCACAAAGGGCCAGTTTCATCAGTATGGTTTGTGCTGAGCAGTATCCTACTTTAAATCAATGGTATTTTTTTATGATGTATTTGCTTTCTGAGCAGACTTCTGCCCTGTATCTGTAGGAATGGCAGAGTCAAGCTTTTAACAAGGGAAGAAGCTTATGCTAATAATGTTGCATGTATCAGATTGGCCTTGCTGCATTTTAATTGGATGTTTTCTATATTGTGAACTATGTAGGCATGCTTAGTATTACAAGTTGTTAGGCATGTTCCATAAAACACCTAATAAGAGATACAGTGAAATGCATTGTTATTGAATAGCTCATGTTGTGTGCGTTCTTGTGATGTCTTGCATTTATTTACTTTTACGAGTGTGTATTTAGTGGATTAAATGTAATTTATAGTAAGTGAAAGGAGCAGAAGATCCTATAACCACTACATAGATGTAGGCCCACTATGACTGACTTTTCAGTTGTTGCTCCTTTAAAAAAGAGGTGGGGTGGGAGGGAAAGCTGTAAAGACATTAGTATTCTACAGTAAGCTTTTCCAATAATAGGTTTCGGAGCGTCAGAGCAAAACACACTAGCTTCTTTGGAAATATTTCGCTGTATGCAAGGATTTTGGCTTTAAGTTTTATCAAGAGGAGCCTTTAGGTACACAAGATGCTGCTGTTTGAAGTAAGGGTGCTTCAATATATAGTAGCTCTTTTCACTGGGCAGAGCATGATGTGATTGTAATGGGGCCGGGCTCACATATTCTTGAGTTCTTGCAAAGACCAGGCTGACAGAGCACTTTTCATTAGATGTGACTCTAACGTTGCTGTGCGTCGCCAGGAGAAATATCAGTAGCCAAATCTGAGAAAGGGTTTTCACAGCTTCAGGTGCTTGCTATATGCCATAGATCACTTTTTTTAACTATATAAAATTTTCATCTCTAATATATATACACACACATATACATAGATATATATGTAAAACCTCCTTCAAATCAGCTGGCAATTTTAGAATTCCCTTGCAGTCATGCATCACTTCACATTTTTAAAGCCCTCAGAGGTTTGTTAGTACAATTTTCTGATGAATTTTCAGAGATGGATTCTGGTTTTAAAAGTTTCATGCTGCCTGCCTTTAAGAAGGCTGTTCTTATTTTTGTCCTTGCACACTTGACGTCTGGTTAAGTAATCACAGCACTGCTAGAAATGAACTTGAGAGCTTGAATGTTTGGGCTTGTAGTTACGGACTGGTATTGTTTGTTTCCTTATTACCAGTTTTCATTTGGGTTTGAATTTCATGTGTTTACAATCTTCCATGCAGAGGATTTTTTTACATGGTCTACAGTTCAAATTCACCACTGTTTGATTTTACTGGAAATGTAAATAACAACAACAAAGCATGAATTTGAGTTGACGTTTTCTTTCTGAGGTTGTCTTTTTTGTAGGGATTCACTTCATTCTAAGTTTTGGTGTGTTTTTTTGGTGGTGTTTTGTTTTGTTTTTCTTTAGAAGGCCAAACCGTCTTATCCTGGGTGAACAAAATTTTTGTTACCAGCATGTGACTACATTTTAGACCACTTGTACCATGCAATCTTACGTCCTTTCTGTTGAGCAATCCTGTCTGCAGCTGATTCTGTGCTGCACAGTAATAATAAACAGAGATAGCCCAGATAATAGAAAATTTAGATAA